CCACAGATCGCGAGGAGTGACAGATTTTAATAATTATTCAAGGAGTGTGCAAATGTGAAGTGTGTGTGTGTGTGTGTGTGTGTGTGTGTGTAAACTCTTACAGTACAGTAGTATGGTGATACCATGGTTCAGCAATGGATTCAGAGAGTAATATACCACGGTATTCCTGTTCCAAGAACGCTTTCCTAATGTTATGAAAACATCATTTCTGAATGATCTCTGAACATTCAAAACATTTTAAAAAACAACAACTTTTTTGTTATGTGAACACTGAGAGAACATTCCATTTTAAACATTATGGGAAGGTTACTTTCGAATGTTCTCTGAACGTAACATTTAAAAAACATGATGAACGTTGAATGAACGATATACAAATACATTATTGAAGATCAGATCACTCTAACGAACGTTCTATTAACGTTTGTTTGTAACTTTGCCAGAACGTTCTGAGAACATCTTCAGCTAACAGGAAACATTCTCAGAACTTCTTGACTCAACAACTTCTCTGAATTCATAACACAATTCCTGACTATTTTATACGTTTTGCCAATTTGTATATTTCATACAATGTCACCACATTTTCGTATGATCTGTTTACGCGATGCTTAGGTTTGAGGTGCACCGTCCTGCTCGTACAAATTTATACAAAATCTCCTAATATACTACATTTTTCTCAATGAATCAGGCTGGAATTTCTCTGTTATCCATGATTGGTCTTAAATGATCCTCAAAGCCATTTGTGATTACTGCATACAGGTGTTTTATTTATTATTATTTTTTATTTATATAAATTGAAAATGTTTGCATGGTCGAAATGAATCATTTGGATGCTGGTTTGACCGATGCATCGAGAAGAACCAACTCAAGAGAGTGATTCATTCTGACATCAAATGTTGCAGTGGCTTGCAAACAAGTTTCTCTCCATATTTCTAGCGATGCAATGATTAGAACAGATCATAACTACAATCTATATCCACAATGGAAACTGTATTCACTTCTCAGCATCGTGTTTTCCGTGAGCAGCACAGAAGAGCATGTGGTTATTTATATGCATGAGCTGGAGGTCACACTGGTCACGTGATCTCTGCGTGGCCCTCTCCAAGTGTTTGGATTTTAAAATAGAAGACTGAAGTGAACTTTACTGTACATAACCCCTCATGGCTTTACAGCTAAACTAAACACGCGTTATGAAATAACAACACGCCGTGACTTAGTGGGGAATAATATCGAGCACTTAAACTCTCCAAACTGCAACTTTCAAAGTCTTATATAGACATACTGTAACTTTATAAAGCACTCGAATTACACGAACCGCTTGTTTCGCTCGACGCGACGCGACTACAACGCTCCTGTAATAAAGATGCGTCGCTCAGGGTGTGAAAGAAATAAAGAAAGTTCACAAACACACTGAATCTCACGTGTTCTGGATATATAAAGTGATATATGTAATAATAAAGCATGGTTCTTACAGCACGCATAAGGCGTACGCGCCGTTGACGCTCTCGCTGTCCCGCAGCAGGAAGCTCCCGTCCCGCCCGGCTCGAGCCAGCAGCTCCTCCGCCGCCGCGCGACTCAGATCCCGGTGATACCAGAGCGGCGGAGCGGGACACGCGCCGGCCATCGCCGAACACAAATCCTCCGAAACGCGGTCCGGATCCGCTGCGAAAGCCGCTCAGAAGCCGCGGGCCGCGCGCGTCAGCCGCACCGCTCGAAGTTTCAGAGTTTCTCCTGCTTTCCTGTTAGTTCCTGAAAATCCTCCATGAGAGAGAAAACACACAGCAGCGCACATCCGACAGCAGGGGCGCACACACACACTCACTCTCACACTCTCTCTCTCTCTCTCTCTCACACACAGACACACACTCACTCTCACACTCACTCTCTCTCTCTCTCTCTCTCTCTCTCTCTCTCACACACACAGACACACACTCACTCTCACAC